AAACAAGACAGTCTCAGTCAGACATGTTATAATAGTAAGCATTGCAGACCTCAAAGAGTTCTTAGAACATTCTCTGGTGGCTCCCCTACCCTCGTAGGGGGACGGGGCGCGGGGAGGCGAGGAGGGCACGGCCCAACTGACGGGCCCCCGCGCCCTCCCAGAAGCCTGCGCGTTGCGTGGCCGCAGAGCCACGGGCGGACGAGTCGGGGAGGGCCCCCCCCCCCCCAGACGGCGCGGCTCTCGCTCCTCCTCGGACCCCCCCCCCCTTGTCCAGCCCGGGACCAAGGACGCACCACCTGACCACCACGCGCCGCATGGGAGGAGGACATCGGCGGCGAGCGAGGGGGGAAGTGAGACGGAAAAGTTTCTGAGCCGTCCCCGAAGACGGGAACAGCTTCTCGGAAGGCGCGAGGGCTTCCGAGAAGTCCCGCCGCCTTCTGAGACGGCCTTCTCCTTCTCATTTCCCCCCCTCGCTCGCCGCCGGGGAAAGCTGGAGGACGATGGAGGGAGACTGCTGTCTTCCGAGGGCTTGGTTCCGGGCGTGCTCCGGCTGCCGCAGGAGCCTCTGGGAGCCCCCGCGCGCAGGAGGGGCCTAGAATCGAGCGGCTTTTTGAGACAGCACACCGCGTGCGACGCCGCCCAGATTTGGGCTCAAAGGATACCGATACAGCGTGGAGACCCGACATATCACACCAGTCCGTCTCGGACGACTGCGCCGATCTGTTGAAAACTCGGACGGGCCAGTCTGTAACCAATCACCCTGCGACTGGCTGGCGCACTCAGCACGCTGGCCGCATCGCCCTCGAAGCGAGCACCCTGGAGGAAGGAGAAAGAAGGGAGGAGGACAAGGAAAGGGACGGAAAGGAGGGTGACGACGACGACGACGAATGCGAAGGGAGAGAGGAACACGAGGGAGGGAGGGAGGGAGGGGGGGAGGGAGGGAGGGAGGGAGGGAGGGAGGGAGGGAGGGATGGAGGGTGGTGGAGGACGAGGAGGAGAGCGAGGGAGAGGGCGACGACGACGACAACGAGGGATGCAGGTGCGAGGAACCAGGGAGCCTGGGGGTCCGTCCCGCCCTCCCTGCCCACGTACTCCCTGGCATCCCCTCTTATCGCTTGTCCTTCCACTCTTTCCTTTATCGGCCCTCTCCTCCTCCTCCTCCTCCTCCTCCTCCTCCTCCTCCTCCTCCTCCTCCTCCACCTCTTCCTCATCCTCCTCTGTCGCGTCCTCCTCCTCATCCTCCTCCTCATACCTCACCTCTTCGCCCCTCGTTTTCCCCCTGGCTCCTTCATCGCCCTTCTCCTCCCACCTCTCCCTGGTCCATCCTCCAAGGTCCACATCCTCCAAGCCATACTCTCTCCTCGCGTATCCCGTTTCCTCCTGATTCTCACCACCACCCCCACCATCATCATAATCACCATCATCATCATCATCATCATCATCATCATCATCATCATCATCATCATCATCATCATCCTCATCCTCATCATCATCATCATCATCATCATCATCATCATCATCAGCATCAGCATCAGCATCAGCATCAGCATCATCATCATCATCATCATCATCATCATCATCATCATCATCATTATCAGCAGCATCAGCATCATCATGATCATCAGCATCATAGTCATCAGAATCATAATCACCATAATCAGCATCATAATCATCATCAACAACATAATCAACATCACCATCACCATCATCGCCATCATCATCACCACCATCATCATCAGCAGCATCATCAACATCATCGCCACCACCCACGACAACCATCCTCCTCACCCTCACCATCACGCTCAACATCACCATTACCATCACCACCACCAGCACCTTCATCATCATCGTCAGCAGCATCATCATCAGCATCTTCAACAGCAGCATCATCATCCTCATCCTCATCATCAGCAGCAGCAGCAACAGCATCGTCATCAGCATAAACAGAATCCGCCGACCCCTTGTGGGTCTCCAGGCGTGTGAGAATGTTCGCTCCCATAATCCACCCCTGGACCCCAACCCGGGATGTTGGCTCCCCCCCCGGCCAGGGACGGCCCCGGACCGACCTCACCCGGGGCGCTCTGGGCTCCCTGGGCTTGCTCTTGAGCTGCACGACAGCACTGGACGCCTCCCAAGAAGCCGCCAAGACGGTCCACGAGAACCCCAAGTCGCCGAAACATCGTTCCAAGACGCCCAAGATGAGCTAAAAACGGCCCAAGAGGCCGCCAAGACACCCCAGGAAGCGTCCAAGAAGCCTCCCAAGAAGCCTTCTCGAAATCCCACCAGCCCTTTGGGCGTGAGTGGTTTAGAGAGCCCGCTCTGTTCTCAACCCCCTTCTTCCCCTTCGGGGAGGGGTTTACCCCTCCCCCTACCCCCTCCCCCTGGGCCTGGAGAGGGCGTCTCGCGGGTAGTTGTAGGGGTCTTTTGCGACTCCTGGGAGGGCTAAAATTCGACACCCCTCACGAGGATTCTGGCCCCGACGGGGGGGGGGAGAAAAGTGCTCGCCCCATCTGTGATCGATCGCCCGACAGATGGCCCCAAGATTCCTCCCAGACCCCTCCCAAAGAGTCCCAAGAGGCCCCAAGAGGCCTCCAAGAGGCCCCCAAGATGCCCCCAAGAGGCGCCCAAGAGGCCCCAAGAGGCTCCCCCGAGGCACCCAAGACGCTCCTGGAAGCCCCTGGAGCCGCCAAGAGGCCCCCAAGACGCCCCAAACGGCCTCCAAGAGGCTCCCAAGAGGCCCGAAGAGGCTCCCCCAAGGCACCCAAGACGCTCCTAGAAGCCCCTGGGGCCGCCAAGAGGCCCCGAAGACGCCCCAAAAGGCCTCCAAGAGGCTCCCAAAACGACTCACACCACGACGAGGGCCCCGAACGACTCACACCACGAGGAGCCCGAACGAGTCACACCAGGAGGAGGGGCCCGAACGACTCACACGACGACGAGGGGCCCGAACAACTCACACCACGAGAAGCCCGAACGACTCACACCAGGACGAAGAGCCCGAACGACTCACATCACGAAGAGCCCGAACGATTCACACCAGGAAGAAGGGCCCGAACGACTCACACCAGGACAAGAAACCCCAAACGACTCAAACCACGAGGAGCGCTTTCTCTCCCTCCTCCTCCGCCTCGTCCTTCTCCCGCTCCCACCACAAGGAGGATGTACAAGGAGGCGGGAGGAAGGAGGAACAGGGGAGATATGCGGGGGCAGGCGGAAACACGCCTGAAAACACGACTGACAGCATGCTTCGCAAGAGTTGCTGTTTTGAGATGGGCTGGTGGGGATACGCGAAGCGTAAAGAATTGCCATGGGAAAACGTGCATTTCAAGCATATCAAACTTGTTAGCCGTTACGGCGTTGAATGTCCACGAGGCCTCAAGGACCACCCCAAGACGGCCCACGAGGCTCCCAGGAGGCCCCAAAGACAACCCAAAAGAACTCCAAAGTGGCCCGCGAGGCGCCCTAGACGTCCCAAGAGAGCTCCAAGACGGCCCTAAGGGCCCAAGAGAGGGACCACGAACCGCGAATTCCAGCGCTCCGCCCAACGAAGCTCTCCAGAGGACCCAAGAGGCCCCCAAGCGGCCCGAAGAGGCCCCCATGAGGCACCCAACAGGCCCCAAGGAGCCCCCAAGAGGCCCAAAAGAAGCCCCCAAACGGCCCCCAAGACCCTCCGAAACTGCATCGAAGAGGCCCGCGAGAATCCTCGCCACGAGGAATGCAGTCCTGGAGGCGCAGTAGTTTATAAGGGGGTCGGCGGATGTGGCGTAAGCCTATAGATTCATCAACATCAGCATGAGCATGAGCATGAGCATGATCATCATCAGCATCAGCATCAGCATCAGCATCAGCATCAGCAGCAGCATCATGGTCATCATGGTCATCATCATCATCATCATCATCATCATCATCATCATCATCATCATCATCATCATCATCATCATCAGCATCAGGATCAGGATCAGCATCAGCATCAGCATCATCGTCAGCATCATCATCATCATCGTCATCATCATCATCAGCAGCATCGGCATCATCAACATCATCATCATCATCATCATCATCATCATCAACATCATCAGCATCATCATCATCATCATCAGCATCATCAGCATCAGCATCATCATCATCATCATCATCATCATCATCATCATCAGCATCATCATCATCATCATCGCCATCATCATCATCATCAGCAGCATCATCATCGTCATCAGCATCATCATCATCCTCATCATCATCCTCATCCCCATCCTCATCCTCATCCTCATCCTCGTCCTCATCATCATCATCATCAGCATCATCATCAGCAGCACCGCCAACAACATCACCATCATCTCCCTTCTCCCGATCGTCCTCTACCTCATCCCACTCTTCCCTGCTGCTGCTATTGGTCACCCTGCCCCTCCTCATCATCGCTCCCTGCTCTCACCGAGAGGCCAGGTGGGGGGAGGGGGGGGATGGAGGAGGAGGACTGTGCACACCTCCTGCCTTACTCCCCCGCCATCGACAAGCTTCCTTCCATTCAATTCCTCGCGCGCGGGCTCTTCTTCCATTCCGTCCGCATCCCTCCATCATTCCTCCTCCGATCCACCTCCGTCCCATGCTTCCTCCTCCGTCCTCCGTGGTCCCATCACGCTGCCCCTACTCGGTCCTCTTCCGTCCCCATGCTCCTCCTCCTCCCCCACCTCCTCCTCCTCCTCCTCTTTCCCTCCCTCTCTCCCTCCGTTTCCTCCGTCTCCGTCCCTCCTTCACTCTCTCCCTCCTCGCATCGCCTTTCCATCCTCACTCACGGCCTCCATCCTCCCCATCCCCTCCCTCCTCCGCCATCCTGCCATCGATCACCCACCATTCCTCCGAGCACCACCACCACCACCACCCCCTCCTCCCCACCCAGCCCCTCATAGTTCCTCCCCTCCTGCACCTCCTCCTATCGACCCAGTTCCTCCCCCACGTCTCTCCCTCCTCCCACCCCCGTCCCACGACGGCGTCGCCACCCGTTCCTCGGAACCGTCGGACTCGCCGAACCCGGTGTAGTCGATCTCCACGTTGACAGGGCTGCTGTCCGCTGAGACGGGTGGAGGGGGACGAGGGGGGGAGGAGGGGGTGGGAGAGAGAGGCGGGGGACAGGAAGAGAAGGGAAGGGGGGAGGGGAGGGGGAGGGGAGAGGTGAGGGAGAGGGAGAGGAGAGGGAAGGAGGGGGGAGGAGGGGAGGGGGAGGGGGGGGTAGAGGGAAAAAAGGGGGAATGTTCGGGAATGTTCGGTTAGAGGACGACGAAAGTCCTAATCGCATTTGGCGCATATGTTGCTTTCTGCGTCCTGGACCGCCCTCGGAGGGCCTCAGGGGTGGGGGTACTTTGCCGCACGAATTATCCCTAGGTTATGTTACCCTCTGGCCGTTGGGAGGCATTCCTTAACCTACTGTCGGGGGTCTATGGTGCAACTAAAACCGCATTTGCTACAACAAGTGATGCACTAGTTGCTCCAATACTGCAACGCATGCGACGGGTGGAGAAGCTTGCCGCCCAATCTCTGGGGTCCACGAAAAGGCTCTAACTCCCGGGAGTGTTTGTACAAGCACCTGGTCGCACACGGCCGAACAAATTAATCGATATTCGAGAACGGCGAACATTGCGTGCAATAAAACTTGGCACCAACACGACACCATCGATAGCCAGAGTCCTTTCAAACACGAGCCAGTTTCGGGAGGGGGGCTGGGTCCTCGACGCTCGGCCGCTCGACGGTCCGTGGGCCCGACAAAATCGCACAGCCCACGGCCCTACGCGCACGGCGACGGATCAGGGCGGCCTCCGAATCCCTCCTACATGTTGGGATGTCAAAGCCAATCCAAGTGCCCCAAGCTACCCCAGCCATCGCGGAAGCCAGTGCGTCAGCACATTCATTCCCAAGAACGCGGTAGCTGTCTGCCTCCGTTCGGATTGTCGCCTCCTCTTGGTGGGAGGCAACCCACTCGAGCAGCACATCCTCGGGCTCTCTGGCTCGGAGTGCGTTCGCCACTCTGGACCAGAGGTCAGCATTGGAACCAACAAGGTGCTCAAAGCCGCACCGCTGACCTCTGGCCCAGGTTTAAAGAAGGGGGACGTGGGCGGTGATAACTCGCACTCGGCACGAGAGGAGCTCCAGGGCAGAGGCGAAGGCAGTTATCTCCGCACAAGGCACAGTCTGCCGTCTCCCCTGAAGCGTGGTACCAGAACCCCAGACCGACCTCCAGAAGCGCCCCATCAGGCGCTAAAGCTACAACGCCAGCTCCTACCCTACGGAAACGAGGGTCACCAGAAAACCTCCCGCCCGACCCGTCTCCGAACGCGGTAACGTAACATCCGGCGCCGATGGGGAGCGAGTCGATATCTCCGAACGTGCTGGTCTCTGGGGGTCCTCTCTCTAGACGTAGGATTTGTTGCATGTCGACCTGGGACGCATCGGAGCCAAACGCTAGAATAACTCTCGAACTTAACATGGGCCTGGTCCTATAAAAAACTTGGATGTCTTGAAATCCTCGTGGCCCTCGTTGGCCTCGCAGGCCCAGGTCCTGTGAAACAGCGACTCTGGTGCCTGCTGGCGCCAAGGGCGAAGAAGGCTTGGGACCTCATAGCCTGCCCCACTTAGCCTCTCACGTGTCCACTGGCCGCCCGTCGTGGCGACCACGTTCAGAGCCCATTCGCCGCCAACGTTGGTAGTGCGGAACCTCGCCATCTCCTTGCAGACGTGGTACGTGTCTGCGCCGCCTGACAAGTCGAAGTGTCGAGGTGGCTCGGCGCCGTGGACCACAACAAGGAATCAGTCGATGCTTCCACGTCGTCTAGGATGTCCGTAAATCTCCGTGAAACAGGTCAAACTCCTCATCAGTTACTGAGGGGATGAACCACCTCGCCTGATCTGATTGCCATAGCATTGGAGAAATTGGCTGCCAACCAACATCCAGTAAGGCCGCGATTGTAGCCCCAATCGGGCGTTTCACCCGTCTCCATCGCCTCGGGCCTGCCAGCTGTAAGCGCAGCCTGATATTATCCCAAGCCTGCGCTGCACGACTGTGAAATTCAGGACGTTCGCGCCAAAGCTTCAACCATGAACGAAGCTGCTAACGTCCGATGGCCTTGGCAGGGCCCTTCGCCGTGAAAGCGATCGCCACCGACGTAGTCAGACATAGTCCTGCACCACTGCCCACGGAGCACTGCGCGGCCTGACGTCGCAACGTGGTGAGAGTATGAGCAAGTGCTCCGTAGGCCTGATGACCGTACGTGCTCCGCGGGCGGGCCCCCACTGACCACAACGATGCAGTGATACCTCCCAACTTGGCATGTCTCCCCATTCTGCGAATAACCGGTACTCGTCCACGAGCTTTGGCGATCCGATCCTTCATCGGTTTGATCTGTCGCCGTTTGCTTGCAGTGGTGTCTATGCCTCAGTGGACCGCCTCGCCCATCTCTGCTACAGGTACACCTCGGTCGCGGCGTCGATTTGACACCTGCTCGGCAAGCTTGGGAGATGGTGTAACCAATACTGTGTTGTCGCTAACCGTGAAGCCTGCAAGAACAAATTCTTCACACAAGTCGCAGCCCGACTCCGAAATCGTCTGTATTGCCTGTTTCTCCGTGCCCTCGACCCTAATGACAGTGTCGTCGACGAACGTACGGAGTAGAATTTGCAAGCCATACCAATCGTGGGTTTTCGACAGGATAAGGCCCACGAGGGCCTAAACCATACGCCCACCATTGAGAGAACCCGCCACGATGCCTCGCTCTGCCTGAATGGAATGCGAAATCCAGGAGCGGTCCTTCAATAATCTGGGAGCAAGGCACACTTGGAGTTCCAGTGACAATATCGTGGCGGGGAAGCCTTGAACCACTGCGGCAGAACATGGCTTGAATAGGTCCATCCTGTCGTAGAACTTCTCTATATCCAGCAGCAGCGTAGCGGAGGAAATCTGAAGCTCGCGCCCCGACTCATCGAGGAGGCTGCGAACCAGCGCTGCCTGTAACGCCGATGATCCTTTGATCGCAGTGTCCCAATGTTAGTCAGCACCAATGGTCCTCTGCAGTGTGTCTGAGCTGCGCACCGTAGCCCAGAGCTTCGGCAAGAAAGGTAATAACCCCTGTACTCGATCTCCGCCGCGAGGCTTCGGTGCCACAGCTCCTATGACCAAGAATACTTGTCCAGGCCACATGCAATACCCCTCGATGTCCACAAGAGGAAGGGAGGATGCAGGAGGAGGGCAGGACGGTCTCGGATTTCGACCAAAATGGCCGCGAGGCAGTACCAACGACTGGGCAGCCAGAAAGCGGGTCGCCGCTGCACCCAAGGAGTCAAGCCCCTCTCCACGCGCGAGGCAGATTCCCGACGTATTTTCTCAGAGACACGGAGCGGGTCACACGGAAGGGCGATGGGTTCCCTGAGTTGAGACTGCGGGAGGGCGGGGGGGTGGGGGGACTTCAAAACCCCAAGCCCCTCCACACGCGCGAGGAATGCCCCCGCCCTATCTTCTCAGAGGCGCACGCACGCACGCAAGAAGCCGCGCCTAGACGGTGCATCGGCAGAACATCCACATGATACGAAAGCCAAAGAAAAATGTGAAATACTGCCTCGCGAATGCAAGCGCGCCGGACACAGACACTGAGCGTACAGACACGGCGGAAAACAATGCACTTGCGGGACAGCATGCAGGGGGCACGAAGCGCCCCACGACTGTGAAGGCGAGGGACTCCCCGAGCTGAGACTGCGGGAGGGGCGGGGGGTGAACTCGAAACGCCGGACCCCGCTCCACGCGCGAAGCACACCGGCCTACCCCCGCCCTGTCCCCTCAGAGGGCACGGGGAGGGTCACACAGAAGGGCGGTGGGCTTCCTGGATTGAGACTGCGGGTTGGGGGGGGGGGGCAGAGGGGAAGGAGGCAAATAGGTGGAGGGGAAACATCTGGCCGAAATGGCTACGAAACAAACGGGTAACTTCGACGATCCCCAATAACGGATGTCGTCCAGAACCGACAGCGGCCTCTGTGGGCCAGAGAGGCATCCAAGACGGCTTCGGACAGTGTCAGACGGCCCAGGAACGTCCAAAGACGGCCCAGGAGGCCACCAAGGAGTCGAAAAAGGCCTCCCAGAGGAACAAGGATGCTTCCAGGAGGCCTCCAACGGCCCACAGGAAGCTCCCAGGAGGCCACAAGTTTCCTCCCCCCCCTCCTCCTCCTCCACCTCCTCCTCTTTTTCCTCCGCCTCCTCTTCTTCCTCCTCCTTCTCCTCCTCCTCCTCCGTCTCCTCATCCTCCTCCCCTCGTCCTCCTGGTCCTCCTCGGCATCCTCCACGGCATCCTCCTCCTCCTCCACCTCCTCCTCCTCCTCCTCCTCCTCCTCCTCCTCCTCCAACTCCTCCTCATCCTCCTCCTCCTCCACATCCTCCTCCTCCTCCTCCTCCTCCTCCACCGACTCCTCCTGCTCCTCCTCCTCCTCTCCTCCTCCTCCTCCTCCTCCTCCTCCTCCTCCTCCTCCTCCTCCTCCTCCTCCTCCTCCTCATCATCATCATCATCATCAGCATCATCATCATCAGCATCATCATCATCATCATCATCATCATCATCATCATCATCATCAGCATCATCATCATCATCACCATCATCATCATCAGCATCATCATCATCATCTTGATCATCATCATCAGCAGCATCGGAATCGTCATCATCAGCATCATCAGCAGCATCATCATCAGCATCACCATCATCATGAACATCATCAGCATCATCATCATTATCATCGTCACCAGCACCTTCGCCTACATTACCATCATCAGCAGCATCGACAGCATCATCATCGTCACCATCACCTTCGCCAGCATTACCATCATCATCAGCATAAGCATTAGCACCATCAGTACCATCATCATCATCAACAACATCATCAATATCATGATCATCGTCAGCTTCATCATCAATAGCATCATCATCATCAGCATCATCATCACGATGATCGTCATCATCAACATCGTCGTCATCATCATCACCGTCATCATAATCACGATGATCGTCATCATCATCATCATCCTCATCATCATCATCATCATCATCATCATCGTCGTCACCATCATCAACAGCACCATCACCGTCAATATCCTCACCATCATCCTCATCATCCGCATCACCATCACCACCACTACCATCATCATCAACCTCATCGCCATCGTCGTCGCCATCGTCATTGCCATCGGCATCATCATCTTCACCCTCATCATCGGAATCATCATCGTCGTCGTCAGTAGCATGATCATCATCGTCGTCAGCATCATCATCATCATAAACATAATCACAAACATACTCATCATCAAAATCATCACCACCAGCATCATCAGCTGCGTCAGCTCCATCATCATCACCACCATCATCAACATTATCATCATCGCCACCATCATGTACAACAACATCAACATCATCATCATCATCATCAGCAGCAGCAGAAACCTCAACATCACCAGTATCACGTCATCATCCTCTTCAGCCTCCGCCGCCTCCTCTTCCTCATCCCCCTGCCCTCCCCCTCCTCCTCCTCCTCTTCATCCTCCTCCTCGTCCTTTTCCTCCTTCGTTTCTTGGGTGTCCCCAACGTGTTCCCCGAAAGAATTCCACAACGGCTAGGGGAACACATGGTCCGATAGCTTCGCAGAGCTCTGGCCACAACGTTCGGCCACATGGGCGATTCCAAACACAAGGGGCGGCGGTGATTCGCCGCAGGCGCCATCAATCATCGCCTCTTTTGTCTCGGCAACAGCCACGACGGCCCAAGGGGCCCCAAGATCGTTTCAACAGGGCACATGAGGCCCCCAAGAGGGCCCCAAAAACGCCCGAAAGGGTCCCAAGGCGGCCGCAATGGCCCCCAAGACGGCCCAGGAGAGCCCCAACAGGGCCCTAAGAGGAGCCCACAATGGAAGCTACGAACTGACACTTCGAGCCTGTCTCCCAAAGATGGCCTCAAGAGACCCCCGACGCCCCCGAGGCGCCGATAAGAGGCCACAAGACGCCTCCGAGGCGTCCCCAAATAATCCCCCAAGAAGGCCCACGAGGCCCCCCAAATGCCCCCAAGAAAAGATTGGGGACCCTAACGGACGGGACCTCGCGCTTTCCTCTTTGAAATGAAAAATCGTGTTCGTTTTGGTTTGGTTTCGGGGCTCCAGGGTGAAACGTTTCAGTCCTCCGTTCCTTCTCTTATCTTCACTTCTCTTCCTCGTCTTCCTCCCTGGCGCGCGGAGCGCGCCAGGGGCGGCGCCGGAGGCGCCGCCGGGGGGCCCCAGCGCCGATCCGAGAAATCCGCGCGGACCTCCGAGTTTTTATGCTTATGACACCTTTTGTACCCTAGGCCCTAGGAACCGGGCTTAGCCTCGTCCTGGCCCCGTCCTGCGAGCTCCGCTCCTCGGTGCGATCGACCAACGACGCCAACGTCGTCGACGACGCCAGCGCAGGTCGGGGAGCCTGCAATGCACGGGAGGAGGAGGAGGGGGGGTAGGGGGAAGGAGGAGGGGGAGGAGGAGGAGGAGAGGAGGAGGAGGAGGAGGAGGAGGAGGAGGGGAGGAGAGGAGGAGGAGGAGCGAGGAGGAGAAGCGAGGAGGAGGGCGAGGAGGAGGAGGACGAGGAGGAGAAGCGAGGAGGAGGAGGAGCGAGGAGGAGGAGGAGGAGGGGGAGGAGGGGAAGGAGGAGGAGGAGGAGCGAGGAGGAGGAGGAGCGAGGAGGAGGAGGAGGAGGACGAGGAGCATTGACCCCCGCCGCCAGACGCAAGGGGACCCGGGCCGGCGAGGCCCGCGGAGGGCCTCGGCAGGCCCACCTCGGCTGGCCGCCAGAGTGGGCGACGGCGGCGGCGACGGCGACGGCGACGGCGACGGCGACGGCGACGGCGACGACGGCGACGGCGACGGCGACGGCGACGGCGGCCGCGCAGCGGACCTCTGAAGGGGCCCTGGGACACGCAAATAAATGCACACAAATAACAAGATTCCCAATGTTTTCCCATATTTTCCGGGTGTTCGTCTTCCCCCCCCACTTCCCATACTTTCGCATATTTTCCTTGGAATCGACGATTAATTGTGCCTGTGTGTTTCTTTACCTCCTGAAGAATGGGCCGGCGGCGACGGCGGCGGCGGCGACCACGACGCCGCCGCTGCCCAGACCGCCGAGGGCCGCGACGACGCCGCTGCCCGGGCCGCCGAGGGCCGCCGTGGGCCTCAAGAGGGGCCTGCGGAGGCCGACGACGACGACGACAAGGACGAGGACGAGGACGAGGACGAGAACAACGAGGACGACGAGAACTACGAGGACGAGAACTACGACGACGACGTCGACGTCGACGTCGACGACGACGACGACGACAACGACGACAACGACGACGACCAGGCCGTGGCGGCGGCCTCCTGGAACGCCAAGGCCAGGGGCCCCAGCGGCGATGCCGAGGTCACCTGGGCGGTCGTCGTCGTGGCGTCCCTCGTGGTCGTCGCCGGATCGTTAGACCACCTGCCGCCCAGAGGGCTGTTGGGATCCAGCACGTGCGCCACACAGGGAGCACCACATTGATTGGCGCAAACATACGTTGCATCACATAACTGATTGGCGTCACATAGCTTTCACCACACAGCTTGCACCGCATAGCTCCCCACTCCACTAGCACCAGACACAATGCACCACATTGCATGCACCACATTGTTTTTACCACACAGCTTGCAACACACGCAGACACACACACACACACACGCACACACATAGACACACAGACACACAGACACATAAACACAGACAAACACACACATTGCACACACACGCATTGCGCACACAGCTTGTACACACACGCACACACACACACACTGCACAACTTTGCACACACATTGCACCATACAGGCAAACTATTGCAAAGCTTGCAGCACATTGCAGATCGATGTACCATTGCCTACGTCTTGGCGTCCATGTTGGTTACAACTTGTGCACACGGCTTTGCTATTGTGTTGGCCTTAAGTAGGTCATCATCTCTCATCTTTGTACCATGCTTCCCTTCCGCGCCGTCGTCGTCTCTGAGGGGTCTCGGGGCGCCTCTTTATGTGCTCGTCGCCATGGGCTGGGCGCGGCTCGGAAAGCTGGACAGGGTGGGCCCCAAGCTGGGCCAGACCTGAGCGGATTGTTTGTCAGACGATTCCGCTGCCGCGCCCGCCACCGACGACGCCGGTCGAGGATGAACGATCCTCGCGGACCTCCAACCGAAGACCAGGGGCCGAGGTGCTTTCCAGAGTCTCTCGGGCGCCCTCGTCGTCACGGCTGGGTGCTCCTCGAGGCTGTGGCCAAAGGAGCGCGCCTCAGGCGAGGCAGGCTCGGGGGGTCACCCCCCGCGCATATCACTAGTCTTTCTTTACTCTTCCACAACCCGTTCTTCCCCTTCGGGGAAGGGTTTACCCCTCCCCCTACCCCCTCCCCTGGACCTGGACGGGGCGCCCTGCGAGGTGGCAGGTGGTCCTTCTTCGGCCCCTGGGAGGGCCAATGGTTGACACCCCTCACGAGGTTCGTGGCCCCCGAAAGGAGGGGAGGGTGGGGGGGCAAATCGAGGACCAACCCTTCTTTGATCGATGGTCTCCAAGACGGCCCCAAGAGGAGCTCCAGGGCTCCCTAGAAAGCCCCAAGAGAGCCCCAAGAGGGTTCCAAGAGAGCCCCAAGAGGCCCCAAGAGGCACCCGAGAGGCCCCCAAGAGGCCCCCGAGCGGTCTCAGATTGCTCAGATAGCCCAAGCTGGCTCAAGATAGCTCCCAATATGCTCCAAACGGCCCCAAGACCGCTCCAGCAGCGCCCAAGAGCGCTCCAAGAGAGCCCCAAGAAGCGGTTCGCAGGCTCCTAAGGGAGGAGCTGAGTTGGGGACCCCCCATCATGCAATCAATGGTTTCCAAGATGATCCCAAAAAGTCTTCCAGGGCTACCAAGAGGGTTCAGAGGGCCCCCCAAACTCCCAGAGAGCACCAGCAGCAGCAGCCGCAAGAATACCTCTAGATGGTTCCATGAGTCCTCGTCCGCGTCGTCCTCATCCTAGTCCTCATCCTCCTCGTCCTCGTCCTCATCCGTGTCCTCGTCCTCCTCGTCCTCCTCGTCCTCATCCTCCTTGATCTCTCGGTTCACCCTGGTTGTTCGCTTTGTTTCTCTGGATGTGTCTCTTCGTCCCTTTTTCCGTCAGCTCTCATGGGCAGCGCTTCTGAATGAGCTGGTGGGGATACTTGTTTGATCGTAAACGCGCCGGGAAACGCTGGATGCCGTCCAAGAGTCGTAGCGAGCGGGCTACGCACGAATTGCGCAACAGGGGGGGGAGGGGACTGGTGGGGATACTTTTAGTCAGCGGCCGCAGGCGAGCGCGCCAGCGGCGAGTCCAGTCAAAGCGGGGCGCGCAAAGTCGAATTAACCTAAAGCGGCGGGCCGGAGCCTCACGCAACACCTCAGCGGCGGGCCGGCGAGTGGAAGGGGCTGGCTGTAGGCTGAATAACAGTACTGCCAGGGTCCCAGGGTTCCCCACGTGTTCCCCTATCGTCTGGGCTTCATTCTCCGTGGAGGCGACGATGAGGCGACGAGTCGTGTCCGTGTGTGTGTGTTTCCCCTCCTGAGCCTATTCGGGTACGCAGCCGAAGCAAAAGAACCCTTGCATACGAAGAGAACTTGGGGAACACACCGCAAACGTGCATTGTCTGGATTTCTCCACACGGGGTCCCCAGAAATCCCGACCCGAAAAACCGGATCGTCATCCCGGGTCGTTTTCAGTACGCTCCTGGGGCCTGTCGAGGGCCCCCGCAGGCCCAAATGGCCCAAAGCGTCCCGTCGAGACCTTCACCACGACGCGAGCGTGGCTGGGTCTGGAGGCCAATGATTGGTCCATCCCCCCGGACCCGTTGCGGGGAGCACTCTGGCCGGACTCTCGAGGCGGACCCAGCCGTGGCGACGAGGAGACCCCCGGAGAGGCCCTCCCGCGACGGTGTGGGGCAGGAGGAGGCGGAGGAGGAGGAGGAGGAGGAGGAGGAGGAGGAGGAGGAGGAGGAGAGGAGGAGGAGGAGGAGAGGAGGAGGAGGAGGAGGAGGAGGAGGAGGCGGAGGAGGGGAGGAGGAGGAGGAGGAGGAGGAGGAGGCGGACGAGGAGGCCGAGCCTCGATCCTCGGCCCTCGACCTCTCCGTCCTCGGCCCCACGGTGCCTGCCTCCCGTGGGGCCGCGCCGTCCTCGGCCGTGGCGGCGGACGACGCCCGCGGCGGCGGCGCGGCTTCGGGCCGCCCCGGGAGGGTCGCCGCCGAGCCCGCCGGCGTGGCGGCTGACCACCTCCCGCGCGGGGGGCGGCGCGCGCTCTGCGGCGCGGGGCAGCCCCTCGCGGCGGGCCGGCGGCGCCCCGCGCCGCGCGGCGCGGGGCGCCCCACGCGCGCCGCCGGGTCGGCGGGCCTCGGGCGGGGCCTGACCGACCCCTCGTCCTGGCTTCGTCTTCGTCTGGCTTCGGCGCCACGCGCGGTTCGCCTCCCGGACCCCCAGGCGCGTCCTGGGGGCCATGTTGGGGGGCCACATGCGAACCCCACCCCTACCCCCCACGATTTCTGAGGGGGGGGGGTGTGGGGTGCACTTCGTCCGGGAGCTCCCCAGCGAAGTGAACCCCACCCTCCCCTCAGAAATCGTGGGGGGTAGGGGTAGGGTTCGCGTGTGGCCCCCTAGACCACCCTCCCGTGACGTCATCCTCGCCTTTAAAGCTCCCCTCTGGCCGCAAGCGCACGCCTTGGGGCGAGGCGAGGGGGAGGTCCCGAAAGGGGATGCTTTGCCAGGGGTCGGTGAGGCCAACCCTGACGTCCTCCCCAGGCATCCGGCTGCTCAGATGTTTGATGCGTGGGCCCCGGAGGTCTGGACCACTTCCCTATGGGGCCAGCTTTGCGTCCCGAGTCGCTCTCCCACGGTCCCGAGGCCCGGCGAGGGCCCCTGGAGGCCGAAAACCACCCAAACCATGCCGCTCCCAATTCTTCCGGAGCGTGCCCCAGAGATCCAACGTATTGAAAAAATCAAGACGGACGTTTTTCGCAATTTTCGGCCTTTAGGGGCCCTCGCCAGGCCCCAGGACCGTCAAAAAACGACTCAGGACGAAAAACTGGTCCTGGGGAATGGGTCGAGACTTCTGGGGACCCCGTATTTAAATTATCCAGGCAAAGCAACCTAACAGCGATGTGTATAAGCATGTCTGGAAGCATTCCCCTTAAGATTCAGGTGAGAATCCAGTTGTAGAATTCTGCTGTTCTCGCAGTCGCAGTCGCATTCGCAATGATAGTCGCAGTGGCAACGGCCTTAGGATCCAATGGAATCGTAAGGATTCCTATGGATTCCTAAGGCATCCTCAGGCATCCTTAGGAATCCATAGGAATCCTTAGGAATCCTGATTCCTAGGGATTCCTAGGGATTCCTAAGGATTCCTAGGGAATCCTAAGGATTCCTAAGGATTCCTGAGGATGCTTAACTATGCCTACGGATTCCTAAGGATGCCTACGGATTCCTAAGGATTCCTAGGGATTCCTAAGGATTCCTATGGATTCCTACGGATGCCTCAGCCTGCCTCAGTTTCAGCCTCAGCCTCAGCCTGCCTCGGCTTGCCTCAGCCTCAGCCTCAGCCTGCCTCGGCCTCAGCCTCAGCCTGCCTCAGCCTCAGCCTCAGCCTGCCTCGGCCTCAGCCTGCTCAGCCTCAGCCTCAGCCTGCCTCAGCCTCAGCCTCAGCCTCAGCCTCAGCCTCAGCCTCAGCCTGCCTCGGCTTGCCTCAGCCTCAGCCTCAGCCTGCCTCGGCCTCAGCCTGCCTCAGCCTCCCCTCCTCCTTCCCCCCCCCCCTCCCCCCCCCATTCAGCCTCACCTTGTCTCAGCTTCGGCCTGCCTCGGCCTCAGCCTCAGCCTCAGTCTCAGCCTCAGCCTGTCTCGGCCTGAGCCTGCCTCGGCCTCAGCCTCAGCCTGCCTCAGCCTCAGCCTGCCTCAGCCTCAGCCTCAGCCTGCCTCAGCCTCAGCCTCAGCCTCAGCCTCAGCCTCAGCCTCGGCCTCAGCCTCAGCCTGCCTCCTCAGCCTCAGCCTCAGCCTCAGCCTCAGCCTCAGCCTCAGCCTCAGCTGCCTCAGCCTCAGCCTGCATCAGCCTCAGCCTCAGCCTGCCTCAGCCGCAGCCTCAGCCTCAGCCAGCCTCAGCCTCAGCCTCAGCCTGCCTCGGCTTGCCTCAGTCAGCCTGCCTCGGCCTCAGCCTCCTCAGCCTCAGCCTCAGCCTCAGCCTGCCTCGGCCTCAGCCTCAGCAGCCTCAGCCTCAGCCTCAGCCTGCCTCAGCCTCAGCCTGCCTCAGCCTCAGCCTCAGCCTGCCTCAGCCTCAGCCTGCGTCAGCCTCAGCCTCAGCCTGCCTCAGCCTCAGCCTGCCTCAGCCTCAGCCTCAGCCTGCCTCAGCCTGCCTCAGCCTGCCTCAGCCTCAGCCTCAGCCTGCCTCGGCTTCAGCCTGCCTCGGCTTCAGCCTGCCTCGGCCTCAGCCTGCCTCAGCTCGGGCCGTCAAAATATGGCACAGGACTGGTGTTCTGGGAGCACGAAGATCACGAAGTGGCCCACAGTTGGCTCCGGACAATCAAAATGTGGTACAAGAACAAGAATTGTGTTCTGGGAGCACGAAGAACACGAAATGGCCCACAGTTGGCTCGGGGCATTCAAAATGTGGCCTGGGAATGGTGTTCTGGGAACACGAAGAACACGAAATGGCCTACAGTTGGCTCCGGGCATTCAAAATATGGCACAGGACTGGTGTTCTGGGAGCACGAAGATCACGAAGGGGCCGACAGTTGGCTCCGGGCATTCAAAATGTGGCCTGGGAATGGTGTTCTGGGAATGGATTCCTAAGGATTCCTAATAATTCCTAAGGGTTCCTAAAAATTCCTGGGGCTGACCCTTTTGTCCGGTTCCTTGTCCGGATCCCGCCCAGACCCCCTCTGGGGCGTCCAGATGTTCTCTTTTGATCCCACCAGAAACCTATCAGCAAAAGCCGTTGGGTAAAAACCACGACGTCGGAGGTCCGGGGCCGCTCCCCAACTCTTCCGGAGCGTGCCCCAGAGATCCAACGCATTGAAAAAAAACAAGACGGACGTTTTTCGCAATCTTCGGCCTTGAGGGGCCCTCGCCGGGCCCCAGGACCGTCCAAAAACGACGCAGGACGAAAAACCGGTCCTGGGGAACGGGTCGAGACTTCTGGGGACCCCGCATTTAAATTATCCAGGCAAAGCAACCTAACAGCGATGTGTATAAGCATGTCTGGAAGCATTCCCCTTAAGATTCAGGTGAGAATCCAGTTGTAGAATTCTGCTGTTCTCGCAGTCGCAGTCGCATTCGCAATGATAGTCGCAGTGGCAACGGCCTTAGGATCCAATGGAATCGTAAGGATTCCTATGGATTCCTAAGGCATCCTCAGGCATCCTTAGGAATCCATAGGAATCCTTAGGAATCCTGATTCCTAGGGATTCCTAGGGATTCCTAAGGATTCCTAGGGAATCCTAAGGAATCCTAAGGATTCCTGAGGATTCCTGAGGATTCCGTGTTTGAAAAATCACGACGTCGGAGGTCTGGGGCCGCTCCCCCGCAGGCTCGGCGAGGCCGCCTCGCCGAGGGCCCCAGCGACCGAGGCGGCGCCCACCGACCCGGCGGCCTCCCCACGCGGGCGCGCCGCGACGGGCACGTGGCCCCCTCGGAGGCCCGCTCGGGGCGCGGAGGCGCTCGGGACGAGGGGCGCTCGGTTTTCGGCCTCCAGGGGCCCTCGCCGGGCCTCGGGACCGTGGGAGAGCGACTCGGGACGCAAAGCTGGCCCCATAGGGAAGTGGTCCAGACCTCCGGGGCCCACGCATCAAACATCTGAGCAGCCGGATGCCTGGGGAGGACGTCAGGGTTGGCCTCACCGACCCCTGGCAAAGCATCCCCTTTCGGGACCTCCCCCTCGCCTCGCCCCAAGGCGCGCGCTTGCGGCCAGAGGGGAGCTTTAAAGGCGAGGATGACGTCACGGGAGGGTGGTCTAGGGGGCCACACGCGAACCCCGCCCCTGCCCCCCCACGATTTCTGAGGGGGAGGGTGGGGCTCACTGCGCTCGGGAGCTCCCGAGCGCAGTGAGCCCCACCCTCCCCCTCAGAAATCGTGGGGGGTAGGGGCAGGGTTCGCATGTGGCCCCCCAACATGGCCCTCAGGACGCGCCTGGGGGTCCGGGAGGCGAACCGCGCGTGGCGCCGAAGCCAGACGAAGACGAAGCCAGGACGAGGATAAAGTCAGGCGAGGACAAAAGACTCCAGAATCTCGGGGACCCCGCGGTTCTGAGGGAAGCATCGGGCACCGCGGCCTTTTCAGAGCGGTCCGGAGCGCTCCGAGAGCGTTCCAGAACGCTCAAGAACGGCTTTACCCTCGTCTTAGCCCCGCCCGACAGACCCCCTCGCGTCGTGACAAAATCACGACAGAAGGTTTTTCGCTGCTTCGGCCTCCTGGGGCCCTTCCCAGGTCCTGAGACCGTCAAAAAACAACTCAGAATGAAAAACAGGTCCAGGGGAAGGGGTCGAGACCCTTGGGGGTCGACGTTGCGAACAAAAACACGACGTTGGGGGTCTGGGAAGCGTGGTGGACCAGAACCGACGGCGCAACATTCGGAGTGCGCGGCAAGGATTCAAGGACCTTGGGCCCCCATTCCGAGGCTCTTCGAGCGGGGCTGGCCGTCAAAAGTGGTTGAGGATGGACTGGAGATGACTGAAGAGGCAAGGATGCAAGGATACCCTTGGAAAACCGATCATTCTTAAAATCTGGTTCGACTGTGTATGGGGTCGGAAGATCGCGCCGCATGGACAAAACTGGGCTCCACATCGAGCCGTGTCGCCGATGCATCAACGACGCGGTGCGATCCTCTGAGCCTATGGACCCCATCTGGGAAGCCTAGACTCAGCCAGCAGGATCCCCAAGCATCTAACGTCCTGGACGAGCAACAAAAACTGATATTCTTCCGTCGTTTTCGGCCTCTGTCAGCGCCCCTCAAACGGGGACTCCACTAACGGGTACTTTGGCCAGTGACCCAGCGAACCCAACCCTCCCCAATGTGGGCAAAGCTGCAATGCAAGAAAAAGGCCCTAAAGTGGCAACTTTCGGCAAAACTTCAAAGTACCCGTTAGTAAGTACCCGTTACGGTGCCGTTGACTCTGGTGCCCTTACCAGCCCCGGGACCGTCAAGAGAAAACTCCAGGCGGAAGGCTGGCCCTGATGAGGAGAAGGTCGGGGCTCCTGAGGAGCCCCCACATTGATAACAGACAAAGACATCGGCT